CAAATTAAAGACTATTTAATTTGGTGTTTAAGAAACGTGTAAGTCAGTGGTTCACTTTTCATAATCCAGCCAACTGATCTGTTTAATTAATTAAAATAGCATTTTTTAAAAAGGCATTAAGTTCAATTTGATTGCAGAAAAAAATGTATAATGTAATTACATATACAACACTGGGGATTCAGAACCAGTGAAGAAGTCTGAGTTATGCCCAATGGGCCCCAGGAATGGAGACTTCCTGCACTGGAGATTTCAGTAAAGGGACAAAATATTTACTGACAGCTCTATAGCTGCATACATTTCTTCTTTATTTCTTAAAAAATGTGCGATGGGCTTGCAGTATAATTAAATGTGGTAAACCACTGTGGTACTCGATGTGTTCAAAAACGTTCAAAAATTCCTGTTTGACTGCCAGGCGCACTAAACAGTAATGTGTTAAAGATGGCTCTGAGCTACGGTATATTTCTCCCAATCAACACCGTTATAGTCCCTGATGATGTTATTTACAATACTTGTTAAGTCTAGGTGAAATGTCTGAGAAAGGAAAAGCACTCGTTATTGGCTTGTGCCATCTGAGAAGAGGAAGAGGAATTCGTGTGGGTGAAAACCAGTTCGTGCACGACAACGCGAGACTTTTTCCACCCATATCAGGTTTCTTCTTTATAACTACAAAACCTCCTGTAAGGCTACTTATGCCATCCTCGTTTCACATAATCAATTAGTTTTTCTTATTCATGAGCCAAATTTACATTGTGTTTCCACTTACACGCGTGGTTTGGTGCAAAATGCATCTGAACGTCTCACCTGAATGCAAACATTGCTCACCAGATCTAAGGTGAAACCAGTCTCTCCCACCGCTTCTCTTCCTGTTTTTAATGGAGCAGCTCCTTTCCCACAGGACCTATTAGTCAATTACACCTGAGCGTTCCTGTTTAATATGGGCTGAAAACATACCTGAGTTCCCAGCATCAAACGCTTCCTCTGCTGCAGTCTTCCTGTGGTACACAGTAACGCGCGGAGTGGAGGTGTGTGTGTGTGTGTGTGTGTGTGACATTCAGAAAAAAGCAGGAATTATTCATTAGCTTTCTATTTTGCTCTTCCAGCCTCCCTCCTGATCCTTGTGTTGAACAACTCTGGGGCTAATGCAGAATTGCAAATTAGCTCCCGGAAAAATCGAATTAATTGGCCATCCTCACAGGCTTCTTGTCAAAGTTTGGGCTGATGTGTCAACGATTCCCCTCCACGATTCATCTCCAGAACAGCTCTGCACAGTAGAGGAACACAGCAGGGAGGAGGGGGGCGACCAAAAAAAGAGAAAAACAAATGAGCAAAGCAAAGCACTCCATAACAACAAAACTACCCTCTGCGCATCAATTAATAAAGCACTTCAATTATGGCAAAACTTTCTCGAGTTGACTTCTCCTAACCACACAATAATTCACTCAACCAGGCTCCTGTCACTTTGTCCTGCCTCCAATTTCATAATCAGCCAGTGTCAAACTGAAGGACAGTGTTCGCCTGTGGCTTTTCAGCGGCGAACAAGCTGAAATAATGATGTTATTTTGGCTTCTGCTTTTCACACACGGTATGATTTTGGACATAAATTCAATCAAGTCATTCTTTAAAGTTTTTCTAACAACGTTACCTTTTTTTCTACGGTTATATTTTGTGTCTTTTAACCCCCATATTTTAACTCATAATCTACTCTTATGCATGATCAATGAGACATTTAAACCAGTCTTATTTCTATTCAAAAAACCTACAAAGCATTATGCGTGCAGGGCTGCTGTGGCGGACAGAGAGCTGCAGCTGCTTCCAGTTTGCCAATATTTGTCTTAACGCGCCATCTAGTGCTGATCACAGTTATTACAAGTGCAACACAACAACTTTAATACAAGTTTAAATTTGCCCGTACACTTCTCGCAAAAAGACAAACTGACAGCTTAATTATGTCAGTTTGATTTAATTTAATGACTTTAACACAAGGTGCTCTCCTTACATACTCGCCTTTAAAACCAGGGCTGTCAGACGTATTTTACTTTGTGGGGCATAAAATTTAAACTCAAGTGGACAGGACCAGTAACGCTGCTGCCTAACAACCCATAAAAACAGCAACTTTCTTTTATTGTAACAAAGTTTAATTATTAAGTACAGTCAAAATAATAGACCCTCCACTTATAATGAGCAGCCCTGTGATGATTTCAATGAAAATTGCTCAATTTTCCCAGAAAAAAGATCATGTACAGCAGTAAAATTTAAGTTTAGCTTTAAGAAATATATTCAGATTACAGATAAAAGTACTGACAGCTTATTACCCAGATTTTTAATACATTAAGACTTTTTTACAAAAGAAGATCTGCTTAAACGGAGAAGATAGAAAATAGTGAAGAAAGGAAATATTATTTTTATTTAATGAGGTACTAATAATATAAAAGCCTAAATTTTTATCATGTAACGCTCTACCTTTTACTGACTTTGGGGTAAAATGCCAGCTCATGGGTAATGTCGGTGTCACTAGGGATACTCTAGGCCATGATGGACACTCTGGCAGGCTGGTTCTGGCCCCCCAGCCAC